GTCTTGTGGGGTCTATACCAGTATAGTTCTGGATTGATTCCATACCGCATGTGATAACGTCCAGTGTGGCTGCACCCAGAATCTAAGAAATGTAGGGAAAATATACAGTAGGCCCTCTGTATTGGCGGGGATTCAGTTCTGTCCCCCCCGCCACCTGTTGATGCTAAAAACTGTGTATGATTGCTGTGGGTTACAGTTTTCTAAGTACCAAAGTACCAAATCAAACTAATCAGGACAAAGCAAGTGAAGCAGTAATTCCAATTTATTATTTACAATCTTGCAAGAAGGGGCGTCCTAGGCGAGTAGGTACACTTCCACACTTGACACAGCATGGTTTTATTCCATTTCTCTGGCAGTATTTTTCCACTCCCGTAACATTATTGGCTAGTTAAGGCATATGATCAATTTTAAGACCACCTTTTTCACGTGTGTAAAAGCCCAACCCACAACATATTTGTTCATACATCTCGTGACCATTTAAAATAGGGATAATTTATGCATGGGAGGGCCAGAATAATGTATGAGTCAATTGCGCAGAATCAGTTTGTGTCCATTTGGTGACCTCTCAATTACCTTTAGAAAGAAATGCTGTCCTTGCAATATAATGAGGATGAAACTATAAATCCATCCACTCTTACCTATGTTTCAGACTCAGTCTTCCTCCCTATTTCAAACTGGGCATTTCTTATTATAAACCAGCCCAATTATTCTTGACACATTTGGCCAATCTCAAAGCAATGTGTTTATAAATGACAGTATTCAGGTGTTTTTATATAATTAAAAACCTAAAGCCCCAAACACTTTTTGTAAAGTGTGCATGAGATATAAAAAACTTTATCTGAAAACTATATTAGATATATTGAATATGTAGTATATAAGTAAGTAATATGTGAGTATATAGGTTTACATGTTTTTCAACCCTACCTATGGGTTCTTAACTCTTTTTATGTGCCTTTTGGTTATCCTTTTTACATTTAATGCAAATTTATTTCTCTCAATTGCACCCCATATTATTCAGTGGTGGTGATGTGTATGCACGTGCGTCATCATGTGCACATTCATATCACTGCCATTGAACAATATGGGGCATGGTGATCCACGAGCGGTCATATTCACAGATCAGAAGTCTGCCAATTGGGAGGTTTAAATGGTGTAAATAAAAATAAACTCCCAATTTCCAAATCAACGTTCTGCAAATTTGCATCACATAACTTCCACTGGCTGTTGCAGCATCTTGAACTCACATTGGATTTGCGGTGGAGCATTTGAGCATTTCATGTTGATATTTTTAGGAGAGATTGCAGAGATACCTGGAATGAAAAGGGGGGGGGAACCATTTTCTTAGCTGCCCCCACCCCATAGCAATATTTTTGGAGAGGTGATAGCACCCGACATACTGATAAATACCAGCTTGGCAAGAGGATCCCTTTAATCCTAGAACTGGAAGTACTTTGGCAGTGCAGATGTTTCTAGGCTTCTGAGCATTGTAAAATTATGGAAGCCGTGGAGCATAAGTCACCCCACTCTGATGTAAAATTTCTTGATGTTGTGCTTGTTGCTGTTGTGACTGTGTTCCTTCAGCAGGTTTGTAAAGGTTAAGAGTGGAACATTGACCTCTCTTTGCATAATCTGGACTGTCCTCATATTACATGTTGTAGCTACAAGCTTGGCCATGTGATGTGTCTTTCAAATGTGAGGTCCATGCTACAGGCAGATCCTCTTTCCCACAGGTGGGAGCGGAAGATTTAGTGCATCATCTCCCTACCTATAATCTTTGCTCCATTTCAGCTTTCTCTCTTGGGGAACTGGAATAGATAAGTTTGGTGTTGTTTGCATATTTGTTTTTGTTATTTGCATATGCAGTCTCATCCCACTTTTTCAGATGCTTTTAATATGCCCTGGTTTCTCTTTCCCCCTCCCACTCTGTCCCTTTGTCCTCAGCTTACTTCAGTTTCTTCAAACTGCAGAGTTTGTACTCGGTTAACTCAGCATCGAGGAGAGAAGGGACAGGGTCTTGCCCTTCCCAGTAGGCGCAGGGAAAAGCAAACTGCTGCAGCCTCTCCTAGCTTGCGCAGTCTTCCTCATTAGTAACTTTTGCCATCTTGACCACACTCTGATGTGGCTTTGTCCACTTGTATCCCAGTTTTCACCTGTGAAATGTTGGCAGTCATCCAGTCTACTACTGACTAAAGTTTTGGACCATCGATGATTCAGAAGTTATGCAAGAAACTAGAAATCAGTGAGATGTTGTCAAATTATGCGGGATGCTCCAACTGGTATAGAGTACCTAGGATCCCATGGACAGCCAAGAAGACAAATAAATTTTAACTTACTAATAGTTTAATATATTTTTAAGGGGCGGGTGGGTT